ATAATTGTAACACTATTTGGGTTGCTGGTAATTAATAATAATAATTAATAATAATAATAATAATAATAATAATAATAATTAATAATAATAAATTAATAATAATAAAAACTTGGAATATCAATGAAAATGAGATATTGATGAGTAGGCTATCATGAAAAGGATTAAATGAATATTAAGAACAATAGACTGATAACAATTGATTTCCAGAGAATCGAGGTTTATAAAGTAAATCAGGTGACCACTTGGTACGATGGGCCAAGTGTTGACAGTATTCGCCAAACAACGCCTGTGAAATCGACATGAAAGGAATTGGAGTTACAAATAAAATCTTTTTGCAGAAATGTCAGGATTGAAAACAATAAGCTGAACACTTGCAGATGTGTTAACCTTCAGCCAAACAAATTGTCACTATACTGTGAGTTGCAAAATTTTCCCTGGGAAAGTGTCTCTTGGGTCAAAGGCAAGAAAGCCAATTGTTGTGTTAATTCATTTATGAGGTGATAGCATTTGGAACAATAACTTTTTCTAATTAGTCTCTGACCGAATGGTGGAAGTGACAGGTGCAGAAGAGTGATCAAGGAAGGAGGAGGGGCTGCTTGCACCCACTGAAGGGTAGCAGGCACAGGCAGGACATTAATGAGGTTGAAGGAGTTGCCCACTGGAGAGCACTGGTGGGAGATGGTAATAAGAGAAAGTAGAAGTAACCAGGCAGAGCGATGCCTGCACCCATCTCCTATAAGAGAAGGGGAATTCCCCAAAATTATGAAGTAATTTAATTTCTCAGGACCAAAAACAATGGAAATAGATGAAATACCAATACCCCCACCCTGCCCCAAACTAAATCTCACCCTTACACCATGGACTCTTGTTGGAAATCAGGGGATTCATTGAAATCCAACCAACATCTTGCCCAACACTGGTTTCTAGTTGGAGCCCATAAATACAAATGTGTGAAGCAAATTCACACAGTTCAGTTTGGAGAGTTGTGAAGAGACAGAAAGGAAGTGGCAGAGGTTGCTGAGAGATTCCACACTTCCTGCTGAACATGAGAACCTCTGACTTCAGCCTTGAGCCAAACTTACCAAATCAGGAAAAAGAAATTTAACTAACTCCACAAGCCAAAACTTACCAGCTTACCCAAGTGTTGCGTCCGATTTAGGAATGAGTAGAGTTGACAAACTCTTGTATGCTGACAACTAGTACCTAACAACTATTAAGAAACCATTGTATGTGGTATTTGATATAGAAATAGCAAATATTTTTTTTTATATATTTTGAGTGCTGTTTTTTTCTCCTATTCTACTGTATGACTTTGCTTAACTTGGACCAGCACAACATGAAGATACCTGCGATGAATCGATCTTGGCTTCCTTATAATCAATCAATCACAATGTGGGGTAGGGCAGCTCAGGATCGAAGAGATCACTGCATTGATCAAACCAGGATTCACCCCAGGCTGACCACGATGAACATGTTATATAATGAAATCCTTATTATTTACCATTTTATAAAGTTTGAATCAATTGGCAGTTAGCCAATGTTTTGCCAACCATTCCAATAAACAATCTAATAAATAAATAGGGTTTGTTATTTTCATTGTTGATTCTCAAGAACAAAAAAAAAGTGTATAAATTTATTTTCATATGTTTCGGTTTTATTACAATTCTAATAATAACTTTTTAAAACTATAAACATTGCTGAAGAGTGAAAGAAATTTAAAATAAAAATGGTGTCATGGGAAAAATAATCCTTTTGATGCTATGTTTTATTTTTGTGGGGACACGAAGATCCAAGTACGCCAAATGTTACTTATTAATATTAAAATGAATAATAATAACAATCTAAATCTAATTTATCCTTATGATGTCAATTGTTGCTTTTTCTATTGATCTAACCTGGATATTAGCACAGAAAATGAGATTGTCGAACTGAGTTCAAATCTGGCCTTAGTGTATTTCATTCATTTTTGCACAAATACCCTTGGGAAAGGTATGAATCCAGTAGCTCCCACCAGCTTAGTGTTAAATAACATGTATTCTCCAGCCTTTGTTAGTAACAAGTCTAAGAGAAGAAAAACTTTAATTTCCAAACTGTGGAGAAGGCAGCATAATACCACCCCATTGTATCTTTCCCAAGAACAATTATTGCATTTCAGAGGCATTAAAGAAAAAGGAAAATGTGGAGGGCCATGAGAACCTATGTATAGCAAATGTAAAATAACATTATGATGGAACTGCTTGTTGTGTTTAGGTAGAAAACAAATGTCTTCTGGTATTATTTTTCCCATAACATAATTTGAATAATTAAAGTAATAAATGAGTAACATGAAAATAATATAAACCAAATAACAATGCATGTATTAAAAAAAGAATTACAATTACAATAAACAAAGAAAACATGTAAAGACTAATTGCATACAAAACATTCCCACCCCCCATTTAAATTAGAGAAGGTGTTTTAGTGTCTGTGAAATTTGCGTAGGCCTACGTGATAGACACATGTGTGAAAGAGGACAAAAAATCAAGAGAAAAGTAAGACATTGAAAATGAACATGCTTCAGTGGGGGACATTTTTTTTTTCCCATGTGCGACTACATCTTACAGCCACAATTGTGAAACTGTAAAAGAGAATGAGTGAGAATATCACTGCCTATTTATAGGCTTAAGCAGTAACCGCTAGCAACATTTTTTTATTGCTGGAGGGGAGTCAAGTGAGATAACCCACAACAGTCTTATTCTGTCAGAATCTGTTAGCCAAGTTCAAACTCCAGGATAGTGTGTTGCATTCACTTTCACACAAATACCATTGAGAGAGGCAAGAACATGTCTCTTCTCCCTTTCAGCTATGAGTTAAATAGCACTAGGGGCTTTCCTTCCAGATTCTTCCAAAGAAATTGACAGAGGAGGAGAAGGGTTTTTCCCCTGTCAGAGTAGATGCTGCAGATGTAATATCTGTTCCAGTCTGGAGGCTTTCTCTCCTCCCTTGCATTCCCCCTGCTGTTGCATAATATCTGTTACACAGTGGTGGTATGACTGGCTCTGACTAGCTTAGACAAGCTCTGACCAGCTTAGACAAGCACTGACCAGTTTAGACAAGCTCTGACCAGCTAAGACAAGTGCTGACCAGCTTAGACAAGCACTGACCTGCTTAGACAAGCTTAGACCAGTGGCCTGAATGGAAACACCCGGGTCACCATGTTAAAAACTGGCCTTCTGTCACAACCTAACTCAGTGGGGGGTTAAGGTAAATCTCAGGTTAAATAGCACTATAAAATTTCTAGCTTCGAATCTAAATTCTGAATTCCAAACTGGAATTCCACTATTTTCCCTTAAAAATGTAATGGCAATTCACAGATAATAAAGAAAAAAAAATCTGTGGAGTCATGATCACCTATGTCATTAAGCAATATGGCACTTTAAAAAATGTAATCACTGCTTTATCTAGGGATTGAACACACATATTCCTGATAACTACATAGTCTTAATGTTTTCATTCAGGTTGGAACATTAAAACTGATGCTCACTTTTTCTAATCAGAGGCTCCCACATAATTCTAAAATTGTTACTTAATACAACAGAAGCTTGAAGAAGGTTCTGGTTGTATACAGAGCTAACAAAACATTGAGCTTCTGAGAAATTCAGAGAGAAACTTAAAGGCTCATCTTTTGTCTTGAATTCAAACCTTCAAATTTAACAGAAAGATAACAACCAAGATGAGGACACTCGTCCAAATAGATTAATGTATAATAATAATAATTCCTCATCTGAGAAATTCAGAGAGAAACTTAAAGGCTCATCTTTTGTCATCAATTGTTACATTGTTACAGTTGCGTGAATCCACACTCACTTTCATAACAATATTGACTGATCTTAAAAAAAGAAATGTATCATTTATTGTCAGAAAAATGTGATTTTTTTTTTGTAATTTAGTTTTATTTTCTGTCTCCTAGGTTAGAATGTGAAAGCAGCTTTAAAATTTGCTGAATTGAAAAAAGTTAAATAAAAATAATAAAACTAATTTTATTTTAAAACTGAAAATAATCCTAAAAAAACTAAAAAATATTTCGATGAAGATTATTTTCCCGAAAAGTAAAATAAATTTAAAATCACAAAAAGCTGAAAAAAAATGCATTTAAAATTTACACATTGTCATCAGCATTGTTAATGTTCATTTATTTTGAGTTTGACTCTCAATCAATACTGTGTGTGTTTGTATGTGTATGTATAAAATATATATAAAACAAAGATACTTTGTCATATTTTGTATATTACGATCTCAATATTGTTTGAAGTTTTATTTGCTTTTTTAATTTTTAAACAAGCAAAAAAAAAAAATCATCTTATTTATCTTCACTGTTGTGAAGAAACAAAAAAGAAACTCAACCTGTAGATAAAAATAGATATTAAAGATACCTTCTAAAGTAAAAATCATTGCACCTAAATAATACATGAGAAAAAAAGAAAAGAAAAGAAGTTGATGCTGGCAATAAAAACAAACAAAACTGAACATTATTCTCATTTTCTTAACAAAAAGGACGAAAAATGAAAACAATGGCGGTGTAAGCTTTTTAAGTGTTCCCGCTACAGAAAAGCCCGAGGCGAAGCGATAGAAGCTGGAGAAATTTTATGCTTTAAGCGGGCCACACCAAAACCACTGTTGGATACTTTACAAATGCGTTTTGAGATTTTAAAGTGATTTCAAACATCTATCAATATCCAAGTGGAATATTTAACGGCTTTTAAAAACCGTCCTGCGAGCACTTGCGTGTGGCGAGATTGAAGTTAACCCAAAAGAAAAAAAAAAAAAAAAAAGTTAAAAATGGTCATAAAGTGGGGGTATGGCTTCTTGAGTCGGTCCACCAGTTAAAAATACCTTGCCCCCCTTAAAAAAAAAAAAAAGCAAAAAAAAAAGTAAAACAGAATAGGGGCCCCAAAACACAAACTAAAGAGGACGAGGGAAAATGTGGCGAAATGCCTTTTTGTTTTTCTTTTGTTTAAAAGCCTAAAAAAACTGTCGTTATCAGGTAAATTGAGATGAAGAATCTTTTCTTTGATATATTTTTTTTTTCATTGGATTGTTCCATATTTTTTTCTTGTGAGTTAAATATTTATGACATAAAAAAGCATGTGCAAATGAGTCCAGTCCAAAGTAGGAGGTGCGATGTGTTTATTTGTGGACGTGTGTACTATAAGTTAAAGTAAATATTGATAAATATGTATATATAAGAAGTGACAGATCGTATGTCTATATCCCATTGTCTGTAGATATGTGCATATATCTATAATATTCATGCTTGTTGTGTTTAAAAGTGCGTATCTTTTTAAAAGTGTCAGCTGTGCGCGGTTTTTAAAAATACAGTTTTAATTACGTATAATTAATAATTAATTGGCATGTCTCTGTAATTAATTGTGTAGAGCAGTTTTTAAATTATCATCTGTTATCCGTTTATTTGGTGTTTTTAAATGTTTTAAAAACATAAAGATCGATTTTTAAAATATTTTTATCTAAACTTGAAATTTTTATTATAAAATTAAATAAAAATATTTGTGTGTCCCAACCTGAAAAATACTTTTTGAATGCATTTAACCCTTGAAATACGTCTTTTTGTTGACAAAGATTAAATGTATTTTTATCTTTTCTCTCATCTCAAGGGTAGTGGGGAAGAATTATTTATTTCATTAATAATAAAGAAAACGGTTAAGTTTTAGTTTCGCTTATTTGATCATTTTTAAATGCCGGTCTGGATCTGGACCCCGACTTTATGGCACTTCTGTGTATATACAATGATTGTTAAATCTACCCTGTCCTGCTTTAAAGATAGATTTTTAAATCTTCTTTTGTTTGGTGTCGTTATTTCATATTCAAATACTTGAATTCTTTCTCCCCATCCGATTCACTCATCGACCCGCTTTTTCAGAAAGAAAGAAATGAATTAGTGAAAAGGGCATTTCCATCATTTAGGTGGCCAGAAATTGAGGGTCTACCTTATTTTTACCATATACCCCGAATAATAATAAGGTGTATTTTTACCATGTATCATATTGCAAATCCATCTTATTTAAAACTTTTGACAGCTTAAATAATTGTTATTTGGATGCTGTTGAAAAACGGCCATATAAAAACGTAATTCAATGTGAAACGTGATAAAAAAAAAAAATTATAAGAATGTTAATTTTTTAAAAATTTTATTGCATATTTCATTTAATAAAGGAATCGTTTTTTTTTTAGTTTTTTTTAAATCCCAACCCATCATTAAAAATTAAAAATAATTTTATAAATTAAAAAAAGATAGGTAAAATTATAATCAGAAAATGTTGAAAAATATTTTATTTTGGGTTGAGAGAAGAATGTTTGGCACTAAATACGATTTATTATTTTTTGGTTTGATTTCTTCAAAATTTATTTTTTATTTCTTTAAAATTATAACAAATGCACCAACCACATTCAAACCAGAGTAGTAGTCAACCCTTTTTTATTATTTGAGAATCCATCACCTAAGGATATTATTATTTACCAAATTGGACACTTTACTTAAACTTAAAATTTAAGTGATAACCTAGAATTTTACTTATGCATCCTTTTTGAGGAAAAAAGTAGGGGGAAAAAATGACATGTCAAACGTTTCAGAAAATGCATTTTTAAAAAATTTGAATTTATAATTCTCTAAAAAATATTTTTTTTTTTTTTGTATTTTATTTTAAAACAATGCTATTTTTTTTTTCTAGTTATAAATTTCATAAATTGATGCTCTAAATATCTATATTTTAAATAAGAAAAATTTAATTTTAAATCCTTATTTTTAAAAATTTTATGCATTTTTATGGATTTCTAAAAAAACTTATTGAACAACGTTTTAAATTTAATTGTGAGTATTTCATTACATCTTGTCTACAATTTTTTCAGCATTTTCTTCTATATTTCAATTTTAAACTTGCAATATTTCTTTTTATTTTTATTTTATAAACAATGAAAGTTTAATACAATTGGATTTATTTTTGTATATTTGTTTGTAAAAAAAAAAAAAAAATCGTTTTCTCCCAATTTGTATATTTTTTCATTTTGTCATCATAAGATGTTTCATTTTAAAAAAAAATTAAATGAAATGTTGAATTCTATTTTTTTTTTCTCGATTATATAATTTGAAACCGATTTTTTCAAAAAAAATTTTCAGCTTGTAACACACACACACACACACACTGTTTTATTATTTGTCTACTTTTCTTTAAAGGGATAGTTGCTTTGTGACTTTCTCATCCACACATAAATTCTTGAAGGAAGAACCAAGACTTTCTTTTTTTCAACACGCATTTTGTTACTTTTTTTTTAAAAAAAAAAAATGTTTTACTTTCAAATAACTTTACTGAAAATATTTTAATTCCAAATCAACAATTTAAAAAGAATTAATTTTTAAAAAATTGAAACACCCTACCTAAACTTTTTGAAAAAAAAAAAGACCCCAAAAAATAAAAGTAACCACCTAGCAATTAAATGTCTCTGTTTTTATTTTAGGAATAAGGGATTGATTTTAAAGGGATTTTTCAAGTCTTTAAATGTTTAATCTCAGTTAAAAAATGTTGTAAAATAAATAAAATAAAAATAAAAAAATCTAAAAAATTATGCAGAAACTATCAATAATTAATTTTAATAAATGTCATTTTAAAATTGAAATCCTACACCGTCCTATAGAGAAGACGGAATACCTTTAAAAAAAGGATATCATATTTGAAATTAGATTTCTTTCTTTTTTTTTAATTTTAATTTTTAAAAATGTTTTTGTTTTGAGGCTTTTTTTCGAGCTATGAGGCGAGATAATAGTCATAGCCTTCGGAAAGTTTTTTCTTTCCTGTGTTTTTTTTTTTTTTTTTTTTTTGCTCACCACTGAGTCGATCTGAAAGAAAGAACGAAGAAATAAGTAAGGCCACGGAGGAATAAATGAAAGAATGAAGGAAGTAATCTTGCGAAAATAACTGTCTTCCTTGCTTGTTTTTTGGAGAGTGGCTGACTTTTTAAAAGCCAGGCAGTTACACACGCACATAAGCCACGCACCTTGACTGACACACGGTTATTATCTCAAGACAAGAGTTTTCATTTTCAACTACCAACCTCGAAATAAGGATTTTTTTCTTTCCCGAAGTTTAGCTACTAAAGAAATTCCTTTTCTGTTTCGCAAACAAAATTACCAACTATTATCTATTTATCTATAAAAGGATTATCTATATCTCTCTATATCCCAGATTTTCCATCTATCATAGATTATCTAAGAAGTATCTATCACAATCTATTTGTCATAGATTCTAGCTCAGATTTTTTATCATAAATTATCAGCTATCTTAGATTATCTATCTATCTATCTTGGATTATCTATGATAGATTATCTATCTCAGCTTTTGTATCATATATTTTCTCTCATAGATAATACATCTAATTCTCATATGTCATTTCTTAGATTATCCTTCTATCTAACTTAGGTAATCTAAGATAGATTATCTGTCTGTCTATCTTAGATTATCAACCTCAGCTTTTCTATCATATATTTTATCTCTCTCTCTCTCTCTTTCTCTCTCATAAATAATCCATCTCATTCTCATCATATCTATCTGTTTCCATAATCTTTATTTATTTATTTTACCACAACTATCCATCCCCCCCCCTCTCTCTCTCTCTCTCTCTCTCTCTCTCTCTCCTTTCTGTCTGTCTCTATTTGTAAGGCGTTATTAACAACCCCTCTCTAACTAAACTAATTTAAGTTCGTACTGGTGGAGTCAATTCAGTCTACCCTGGTGCCCCGTACCCTTGTGCCAAACTAAACACATCTGTCCATGTCTCATTAAATTTTAAAAAGTTTAAAATAAATGAACCCATGTTTTTGGTTTATTTCCAATTGTTGCATTCCATTTTTTTAAATTTTTTTTTTTTTTTTTTTTTTTTTTTTTACACTTATGTCCTTTTTAGTTACTTTTTTTTTTTTTTTGTAGGATGCCCGGTTACAATAGGAAGGATCTATCAGTGTTTTTTTTTGTTTGTTTGTTTGTTTTTTTTAAAATAGATTAAAAGTTGTATATATGTGCTAAGATTCCGTAAAATTATTATTTTTATTTTTTTTAAGCAAAAAATATAACATTTAAAATGCTTAGCTTGTCAGTTATCCAGTCTTCTTGACGTCCCCTTCGAATGGGATTTTGATGCTGAGGGTGGTGGTACTTTCGCACATACCTCAACAAAAAAAGCTATTATTAATTGACACGCATTAAAATTATTTGCTTTTTGTTGTTTATGACATTTAAATTGATCGACTAGGGGCTATTTAAACGAAGACACTCAAATCAATAAAGGGGGAGAGAAAAGGTGTTTTCAATTTAAATGAAAATTCAAGAACCAACAACACTATTTAATAAATCCGTGGCAATTTGAAAAAAGATTATAAATAGAATTTTGTTGCCTACTTTATGTTTGCTTCCACATAAAAAAATTCTACAAAGTTATTCCATTCCATTGTACAAGCAAAAGTTCGTCGATTTCCATAAGGTATCCAGCCTGGCCTACCCAATTGTTCCGTGGGATCGGGGAAGTACGCAACTGGGTGGGTGTTAAAAAAAAAAAAAAAAAGTACAGGGTGGTCCGAAAGTCTTGTCATCCCCTACCAAAAAGTAATGAGAACAATAAAACAAGTAATACAGTAATACAAAGCACATATACTGGATTATGTAGTGGTGACAAGACTTTCGGACCACCCTGTAACGCCGGATTTTCTTGAAGGAAAAAATTTAAAGTAAGAGTACTATTGGAAAAATCCCAGTGGGTATATATCAACAAGGTTACAAACGAATTATCATTTTAGGGATTACAATCCATGTTGGATGTAAAATAAGATTTAATTTTTTCTTTTTTTTTAAAACTGGAACGTAAATATTCCTCTTCATTTCCGCACAGATGTTTTATTTTACTACCCACCCACCCGACTATGGTAAAGTCACATTTTAAAGAGCATATGTGGGTGCTTCCATAAATTCACTTCCTTTTTCA